TTAAATGGAGTAAACGAAAACTTGACACGGCACTTGTTTACTAGGAGAGACAAAACTCTTTGAGTCTTTGGTGTCATCGTAGAGTTCCCATGTGTCGTTAGATCTTCTAGCGTATGCCACGTAATGTCCAACACTTGTAAAAGATGTTGTTCTTCCGCAGAACCCCAAGAATCCTCTTAATATATATTCAACTTCTTGAACTACTACGGTAGCTGGTAGTTCACATGGTTTCGACTAAAACAACGAATATTGTGAATTATATAAGACACAATAAAATACCTACATTATATAACACATGTCGTGTGAATGAATCATGTTCGTACAAAACAAAACTCCCAGCTCTAGATGTCCTTTAAAAATAATTGAATGTCCAATATAATGCATTGCAAGCATTTAAAAACTTACGAAATATTTTTCTTACACCTTATAAAATGTATTGTGGTTATTACATGGCTTTCCTATGAATATACGCAATACTAACAAATCTAAATCAAGGATAACCTGGAACAGAGGTTTTTAGTTCAGATAAACCATGAACATTTATTATGAACAGTTCAGTTATTTCAATAATACTTTCCTCTAAGAACGTTTTACTACTAAAGTATATACTTACTTCATATTCCCTTAAAATGCCACTTGCTCTGTCTGTATTAATGAGATCCACCAGCTCAATAATTAAAAAGGTCTTTGATAAGATCCGCTTCACTATTTTGGACTCTTGGCATTTCTTGCATTGGCTGCGTTGGTCTATTGACAGTGAATATCTCCGGTTGGAGTATTGCTAGAGCGGTAATTTTTTTACCATATTGCAAGGGACATTGGGAGCATCAAGATTGCATGCAGGGGTCGTTGACCTGTACAGTTAACGGGCCCGTAGCTTGGTTATCTTTGAAGTACAAATTATATGAATGGAGGTACAAAATAGTACGAAATAAGTACTAAATAGTAGTATAGCTTATAACCATAGGTTCCGATATGGCCGGGCTGAGGGGTCATTGACCTGTACAGTTAACGGACCCGTAGCTTGGTTTTCTTTGAGGTACAAATTATATTAATGGAGGTACAAAATAGTACGAAATAAGTACTAAATAGTAGTATAGCTTATAACCATAGGTTACGACATGGCCGGGCTGAGGGGTCGTTGACCTGAACAGTTAACGGGCCCGTAGCTTGGTTTTCTTTGAGGTACAAATTATATTAATGGAGGTACAAAATAGTACGAAATAAGTACTAAATAGTAGTATAGCTTATAACCATAGGTTACGATATGGCCGGGCTGAGGGGTCGTTGACCTGTACAGTTAACGGGCCCGTAGCTTGGTTTTCTTTGAGGTACAAATTATATTAATGGAGGTACAAAATAGTACGAAATAGGTACTAAATGATGGTATACATATTAGGATCAAATTTGAAAATGGCCGGGCCAGCATGTCACTGGCCCGGAATCCTAAATTAATTAGTTATCCGGTACCGAGTGGGGTACTAATTATTTGTTTGTTGGTACTAAATAGTACGAAATAGGTACTAAATATTAGCATAATTCATATGTACTAATTCCGTCATGGCCGGGCCAGTGACATGGACGTCTCATATAGGCTATTATTTATTTGATGGAAGTGGTCATGACACTTTTCAAATTGGTTTCTTTCCAGTTATGTAGAGCTTAAAAAATAAATGATTTTGTATATTGAAGCGTTAATGTATGCCTAACGGCTACGGAGATAGTAAAAAAAAAATCAAATTTTGATTGGCAATCTTGTTTATTTCCTACTACTGTACAAGCTATCAGCATTTCAATGGAAAAAACACACCTCAATATCTTCCCCGTAGCAGCAAACTTAAGTATAGACTAAAATTAATGTTATTTAAATAGGAAAAAATTTGAAATTTATTAGGGAATATTTTAGTATAAAATCTCACCAGGTAAATGAAAATTCGCTTAGTCTGTAGGTTTGCTGCGGCGGGGGTATTTTTTTTAGTAATGTTAAAATAGTTTAGCAAGAGATAAATGCATCTTCCAAATTTGATCAAAATATATCTTTGTCTGTTTGTTTGTCCTTTATGGACTCCGAAACCGCTCGACAGATTGTAATGAAACTTTCAGGCATTATTCAAGGATGGTTTGTGTGAAGTTTGGTGCAGATCCGTCAAAAGGGCTCCACCCCAGTGGCTCTGGAGTTTCCAATGTTAACCTTATGAGTACTCATATTTAGATGGAATTAAAGAATCTTAACAGATGGTTCAACTAAACAATTTGATTCTGTGATGTTCAATAGCATCAACAAGTTAATATGTTTACAAACAGGGTGCAGCACACTATTATTTTTTTTATTTATGACAACAGCTACTTTGCAACCAAAAGGTGAGTGAGCGTAGCGAACGAACTTCAACCTGGAGGAACTTCAACTTATCCATTTTGTGAAATAAAAAAATTTGATAATCTACAAGATTATCTCGCGTTGTTTATCTAGTTAGAAGACTGATCTCACTTGTTGACAGTAGCTATGTAAGAATGTCCTATTTCGCCTTTTTTCAAAGTATTTATCGCTATGGCTTGATATTTTGGGGAAGCAGTTCAGGAATTCAGGATATTTTACTGATTCAGAAAAATATTGTTAGAATTATATGTAATGAACATCCTGATACTCATTGTAAACCTCTTTTTATTAAACTTGAATTCCAAACAGCTATTAATTTGTACATATATGATATCATGGTTTACAGCCTTAAAGCCACATAGTGATGTCACAGATAATATATAACTAACTCAGTAAAATTGTTCAATCATATTCAACTCACTCAATGTTTTCAAAACAATTTTATTATAATTAATTGGCTTTTAAAAAATCCCTTTTATTTCCTCTCAGAGTTTTTAGAGAAGCACAGCTGACGAGACGCCACCCCATGCCAGGACACCGTATTGTAACACCGACTGCACATAGGCATAATACACCATCCTGCAGTGATCCACTGTCAGCACCTGACCCAGCTGATCGAATGCATTTACTAATTTTCTAAGCCTCTGCTTGACATACCACACGTGAGGAACCCAGCTTAGTTTTTCGTCCATTTATGCCCAAATATTTGTATTGTGACACACGTTTGATGACGTTACAGTCACAGTCACGAGACGCCGGATCACCACAGGAGTGCAAACATAAATGACGTGAGCTCGGATCACTCTCCTTCTTAAAAAAAATTGGAAGACATTTAATTTTTGTTACATTTAAAGTTAAAGAATTATGATCCAACCAATTTTTAAACTTAAGTAGGTCGGACGATGCCCGCTCATACACCTCATCCCACATGTAGCCTGTAGTCACCACTGCCGTATCATCTGCAAACAAGAATAATATGCTTCTTGTTTCTTTTTTTATAAAAAAAAAAAAAGAGGTTGGCGGCCTCTTTTAGCGAATTTCCCTATAGGGAAGTAGCTATTACCGTAGGTGGCAAAATTTGTATATATGTATATATATATATAGACTTTTATATATATATACGTCCGTGAACGCGATAACTTGAGTAATTTTTGTCCGATTTTGATGAAGTTTGGTGAAAATGTGTTAAGCGGGATAAACTTGAATGAGTTCGCGAACCAGCATGATCGGACCATGGGAACAGGGCTTTACGGGGGGTTTTATGGGGTAAAAGTTGGTTTTTCTCACTTTTGACCCTCAAAACACAAAATTTTCCTATTTCTCTTTAGTCAAATGTAGTTTGCTTGTTTATGGATATATTTAGATCAAACATGGCAAATTTATTTATTTTGTACTAAGCTATCAATATTTTACCAAAAAACACACTTTATTAGTTTCCTTGTAGCAGCAAACCTAGGTACTCGTTAAACCTAATGTTACTAAAATATATTTAATTGAAAATCAATTCATACAAATAGAAATTTGCTTAGTCGGCAGGTTTACTGCAGCGGGGGTATTAACCTTGCATTTGCCCGTCCACATAGACTACAGATCTGTGCATGGAACATATCCAGCAAAGCAAGGGGTGAGCCGGTACAGTACAAAGGTGAACTGTACTGATAAAAGTTAGTGGCAGTAACCAGGATCCGAACCCACAACACTACTGCCTTGGGCCCAAAGTCCGCGATGCTACCGACTGAGCCACCGACTCACCAAGTTCTAGTATTGATATATTATTTATATAAACCAGGAAGAGCAAAGGCCCAAGATTGCTTCCCTGGACCACACCGAATTCAATGTTTCTTTTATTACTTGTGACACCATAGATTGTAACAACTTGCACTCGGTCTTTTAAATAACTTCTAAACCAGTCAATAGAGAGCTCGTCTAGTCCAAAAAATTCCAATTTGTTGATAAGTTTATGTCTACCAATAGAGTCAAAGGCTTTTGCTAAATCTAAGAAAGTCCCCAGTACACCTTGTTTTGAGTTTAATTTATTTGATATAAAGTTATTAATATCAAACAATGCATGACTTGTGCTCTTACATGCTCTGAAGCCAAAATGTGAATCACTAATAATGTTTTAGTTTTCAAGGTAAAAAGATAATTGTTGCTTAACACATTTTTCAAGAATTTTAGATATTGTACCAAGCAATGAGATTGGTCTGAAGTTTGATGCAATGTATTTTTTTGACAGATTTTTAAATTGGGGTGACTTTGGCAGTTTTAAAAGATTTTGGAAATTTACTGGACAGTATACTTAAGTTAATTATGTGCAAGAAGTTGCTATGTGCAAGTTGCTTTAAAAAAAAATTTATATATTCAAATTCAACTCACGATATTTTTGTGGAATAGGAAGTTTTGACAGTCCAGCAGTTATTTTAATACACATGTACAAAAACTTTTGCTGTACGAATGGATCAGTAACTATGAGATAACTTTGAGATTTTCCTTTAAATTGCTTTGAGGAGTGTATTCATCACATCATCATCCTAATCTGTTTTCAATCATCCTCCCCAAAACTTACCTTAAAAAGTTAGTTTAGTTTTATTTCAAACATTGGTTCAAAGTGAAAAACAAAGTATAAAATTCTATCAATAACTTTATTTCATGACATACAACAATAAACTTAATACAACTTACTATTTACACATATATCGCAAAAACTCTTATAAAAATGTTAAAATGTTACAAAATACAGTCTTTAAATACAATTTATACTAGAGATAACAAATTTACAAATCTGCAATTGTCAAGATTTTTAACAGGATGCAATAGTTATGAACAATATAATAATTTAATTGACTTGTCTGTTTAATAATTGGTCACCCTTAAATTAATTGTTCTGTTGTAATACTTAGCATGCAATCTCCTACCAAAGGTTTGAAGTCATAGAACTTAAGTATATTTAAAACTGTTCATAACTCTCACCACTCTTACCAGGTTATCCAGGTAAACTCTTGTTGATTGAGTAACATATCTTGCAGCTAAGTTATAGTAGTCAAGATAGCAGCAAATCAGTAATAGTTTTGCAGTCATTTTACAACAGTCACAAAACAAATGAACTATTAACACTATTAAAACTTTTAATACCACCTATCCTTAAGCATAATTCTTTTACTTATTCCTTTAAAAATAGTAGTCAAATAGACTTATCTACCACCACAAATCTGAAAGGTTAATAACTTAGAATTGCACTTTTTACATTCTCTCTGTTTCAAATATGAATTTTACTAATATTTAAAGCTGTTTACAATAAGTTTTACTTTTGCATTTTCAAACACATTTTATTTTTGTGTTTCTCTTGTCTACAACTGAGATAATTAAAGCTACAAATTTGACTACATATCGAAAAAATTTTAAACTGTAGGTGCAAACATTTAAGAACTACTCGTCTTTTTTAGCATGTGAAAGGACAAGTCATACAAATTATAAGAACTGGTACAGATCTTCTGGATCTTGAAGGTCAAATCATGATTTTTAGGAGTATGTGTCAAAGTTATGAGTCATACATGGTTAGGAGACGTGGACTGTTATCCATTCATGACTCTTGACTTCAGGGAGCGGCAGACGAGCAGACGGCTTTACAACTAACAACTGAAAGAAAAATAAACTTGTAAGAAAATAGAACAAAATAGTACAGTGCCCATTGAAAAAAGGCTTGCCAATGTTGATTGTGATGGGTTAAGGTTTCATTGTATTCATATTTAATATAAGATAATAGTAGGGGTAGGCAGATTCCAAAGTCAATTCTTGATTACACTAATTCTTTTCTTTGGAAGGGGATCTGAGAATCAACCGCCAAAAGTAGATTCCAATATCGATACCAGACACGTTTGCGAAAATCGCAGTCGCAAAACTACTGATGTTGCCACGATCGTGTAAGACAATGATGACTTTTTATGGCCGTGGGAAATGTTCATAATTTTTCTGCTATTGCGGAAAACGATGATGTTAATGCTGGGTTTGCCGTGACATGGGGAGACAATGACAAAGTCTACAAGATTGCGGGAAATATTAGGATTTTGCTGCGATCGTGGAAGATGATGATGTTTCCGTTATCGCGGGCGATATTCAAAGTTTTGCTGTGACCATGGAGGACAATGACAAAATAAAGGACCGCAGGAAATGATCTGAATTTTGTCTCTATTGTGGGAGAAGATGTAATGTTCACAGGATCGTATTTAATAACAACTTTGTTACTGAAATATCAGAACTTTTATAAAAATTAAATGATTTAATATTCTTAAATATAAAAGGCATGTTTTTAAGTAAGTATCTTTTTTAAATTTCTCTGTTCCAGCATTTTGGCATTTTGGACATTTGTACTGTGTATGTGCATCTATTGGCAAGCCTGCGTTGGAAATTTGGCAACAATCGGCTGTGTTTACATCCGGTGTAGAGCATTAAAAATGATGCTGCCAATTGAGACTGCCGCCGACTGTGAAGTGCGCGCTGTAATTAGATTTTTAAGTGCTAAAGGTGTGAAAGCCATTCAAATTCATTGACAGATTAGTGAAGTGTATGGCCAGAACATAAGGAAACTCATCAAAAGGAAATTCAAGTAGAAGTACAAATAGAAACACAAAAAAAAGGGAAGTAGAATATGTTATCCCTAACATGAAACTTACACTATGTTCTGATAGCCAGGGAAAAATGCTGGCACCTAAGATAAACGAGATAAGTAAAGGGAAAGTGGATACGTTCGGATATGTGCGACCAAACACAACCCTTATGGAAGTAGTTGATTCATCCTCAATTGGCAATTCAAATAACCCCCTAATCATTTTAGGTGGAAGTAACGACAGTATTAATAATAATTTCTCTGATATTTTTACCAAGCTTGAGAGCAAACTCGAATCTATCAGCAAGGTCAGGCCGGTTTTTATATCAACCATTCCTTTAAGATATGACAAACCCTACAATAGTGTTGAGAATATTCAACTAGATCTGGTGAACAAATACATCACTGAGCTGGCTGCTAAAATGGAGAATGTTACTGTAATTGACCTATACTTCCTCAAAAGACCAGACTTTACAGTACATGGTCTTCACGTCAATAGCAGAGGCAGAACTAAAGTAGCACAAGCAATCCTTAGCACTCTCTCACAGTGGTCAGCAGAAAAGAGACACAACCAGTCAACCTCAAAAGAAGACTACCAAGAAACGCCATCGCTAACCGACACGGGAAACCATACACAGTCACTCCGAAATAACACGGTTACATTGACAGAAATGCCCATGTACGAGCTTATTAAAAAGCACCAACACAATAAAGCAGTAGGGTTTGCACATAGCATCTCTGCAGATTTCCACCATCCACGACACATGACGGCAGGAGTGGCAGTAATATTTAAAACCCACTTTCAAAAACCAAAACCTCATGAGTGTGTGTCAAGGCATTTGGCCATACAAAACACAAAACCTGGAGCCACTGTATATAGTTTAATTACAAAAGCAAATTATTATGGAAAACCCTATATTAATGATTATAATATCGCTTTTAAGGATTTAAGTAAGAATTTTTATAGAAAGAAGACTGACACATCTTATATGTTCCCCTATAGCATGTGTTAGGGACAACATATCCTTAGCTGATTTCCTGAATAATCTGAAAATGTTTCAAAAAGAAACAGGAGCTGAGATAACTATTGCCTCGTACTACCAAAAATCTTCCAGAAAATTAAGAGGTGGCCTGACACATGAGGATTTCAACAGTAAAATACAATCCTTTATTACTGCAACGTCACTAGGAGAGCATCAAGAAAAAAATTTGAACGGTAACATCCATTCAGAGGACCATCATCTACTAAGCCCTACAAAGATCTATGCACATCCATCAATACCGATGTCAGCTTCCACACCTGTATCAACACCTGTCACAACATCTGGATCAGCCCAATTGTCTGCTACAGGTTCTACATCAGCATCTCCCACTAACCAGTCAACACTAACATCAACAGCAGAAACGCAGATGGAGAATGTGTTAAGTGCAGTGAATGGCGACCACACTGAATGTGAGGCGCTAAAGCAGAGCAAAAGAGAGAGTGAAAGTGCTTTAGGTGTGGGAATTATAAAGGGGAAAAATCAATGTTTTTTAGAGAAGGAAAGGATTGTACTAAACATAAATTAGATAGTAAGTTCAAAATCTTTCACCAAAATATTAGAGGTCTAAATTCATCTTTAGAGTCACTAGAAATTACTCTTTCTGAAGTTAACCCAGATGTAATTGTAATCACTGAGCACAAAATGACAGAAGTAACGCTTACAAGATTAAATTTACCCGGCTACACTATAAACTGTAGTTATACCCAGAAAAATAGCAGAGGAGGGGGAGTTATTGTATTAAGTAAAGAAAATATTAAATATAAACCTCTATTTATCCCTGAAATCAATAACCTATTAGAAGAACAGATCTTTGAATGCTGTCTGGCAGAATATCCTAATCTCTTACCTAAGAAACATTTCAAGTTACTGGTAATTGGCTTTTATAGAAACCCAATCAAACAAAACGAAAAATTATCTGTTGAGAAATTAGGTATCATGCTAGAAATTCTTGTTAAAAAATATGAAAATATAATAATAGCGGGAGATTACAATATAGATGTTACAGAAAATAGTAGTATTGCCTTGGATGTAAATAATTTATAAATAAAAAACTTTTGTAAACAAAACGTTTTTAAACGCCCTAAAAAGTAGAAAATAATTTACAAATAATTTATAAATATGTTGAGAGAGTATAAATACTTGTACGATTTAAAACGAAAAATGTGGGGTGCATGCAATAGATAGTTTACAATTACAGTAGACTCTTGATAATTCAAAATTGGTGGGCAAGCATATAAATTTGAATTATCAAGAGTTTTGAATTATCAAGAGTTCGATTTATCGGGAGAAAAATAAACCATTCAAATTACAGAGAGTTCATTTGTTTAATACATACAAAGGTACAGCACATTACAATAAAACATCATACAGTATTTTAGTACACTTTTAAACAATCACCGGCTTATTTTTCAGTTACTGTAATTGCAAAGAAATCTGTTATTTAGCGCTATATATTTTGCCAAATAGCTGAACTATCAGCTGTCGACAACTACGTTTGTGCTCAAGGAGATGTCGCGCAATCTAGTGATCGGATTGCCAACTTAGAAAAACAAGTCAGCGAACTAACTCAGACTACTGCTCTAACTAAACAAACATCAAAACGTCCAACACTAGCCTACCATGGGAACAGGATGTACTGTACTGTATAGCTTCCTGTTATAACAGGAAGAGATCACTTCGAACTATAGAGTGTTTTGCTGACTAAACTTCGAATTGCTGCGTGACTTTGATTTACAGAGTGTTTTTTCGACGAAACTTCGAATTACAGCATGACTTCGAATTGTAGAGTGTTAACCGACGAAACTTCGAATTACTGAGTTACTTCGAATTATAGAGTGTTTTTCCGACGAAACTTCGAATTACTGAGTTACTTCGAATTATAGAGTGTTTTTCCGACGAAACTTCGAATTACTGCGTGTTGCAAATTGACCTGCCCTCTATTTGGACTTTGAAATACAGAGTGTATCAAAATGCATGGTAAAAATTTGAAATATTGAGAGATTCTCTAGGGACTGAGCCTTCATTTTGAATTATCAAGTATTTGAATTACCAAGCGTGGACTGTACCTTCACCTACTGAACTAATGTATTATTATCAATTAATTGCATGCACCCAACGTTTTTCGTTTTAAATCGTACAAGTATTTATACTCTCTCAACAAATTTATAAATTATTTGTAAATTATTTTCTACTTTTTAGGGCGTTTAAAAACGTTTTGTTTACAAAAGTTTTTTTATTTATAAATTATTTTATTCTTTTTAGTTTTAATGTGTGTGCATGTTAAATCTATTTCAAGCATCTATATCAGATTAAGACAGAGGCATGTGGGAAATCTAAGGTTTATTTGAGTTTATTTGCATATAATTATGTTTTAGATTGCATGTATGGCCTACCTACTAACTATAAATATATCAATCTATTTAATCGCAATGTTTCTGAAATAAAGTACAAAGAAATGTTATTCATAAATATATTTGATAAAATTGTTACTTGAAATTAAAGCTATACCGTACTTATTAGTTTAAATTAGTTGATATATTTACATCCTTTCTAAAAGTAAACATGAAAAATTTGGAAGCCCATGGGGCGTAGCCCAAGGGAAATATGAAAATTAAATGATATAATATTGCATTGTCATGCATTTGTGAGCTATGTTTCAAATTTCAAGTCTCTAGCTTATCGGGAACATCGTTTAAAATTGATATCAAAATTTGTAGGAAAGCGAGCTAATAAAAACAAGCCCATGGGGCGTAGCCCGAAAGGAAATATGAAAATTAAATGATATGATATTGCAATGTCATCCATTTGTGAGCTATGTTTCGAATTTCAAGTCTCTAGCTCATCGGGAAGTATCAAAATTTGCAAGAAATCGATTTAATAAAAACAAGCCCATGGGGCGTAGCCCAAGGGAAATATGAAAATTAAATTGTATAATATTGCATTGTCTTCCATTTGTGAGCTATGTTTCAAGTTTCAAGCCCCTAGCTCATCGGGAAGTTAGTATAAAATCGGTTGCAAAATTTGTAGCGGACAAGAAAGCGACCTAATAAAAACGTTTTAAAAACATGTTGATATTAAATGGGATGAGATATTTAGTAAATTTCCCGACTAGAATTACTGATACTTCAGAAAGAGTAATAGATAATGTTTTTACAAACATCGAAAAACAACTCATTCATGTAACGGGATTAAACACTCAGCTTTCAGATCATGATGCTCAACTAGTAGAAATATCAGCTGTAAAACTTAGCAACAACACCACATATTTGGAATACTGTAGAAAATTTAATAGCTACAATGTAAATGATTTTCTTTTGTCATTGGAAAATGAATTGTGGTATGTTTATATGGCCCCTATTGAGCAAAAATTAAGGAAACTTAAAGATTTTATAACCACTAAAGCATTGTATAATATACAAGAATTTCTTGACCCAGAGTTTAATTCAAAACCTTCTGGGACTTGAAGGGCTTTTGGATGTTTAGAATATTTTACTGCTTTCTTAATTTAGTTCACGATTGTTGTTTGTTTTGTTGAGAATCTCTATTGTAATATTATAAATAGCCTTCTTTTTATGGTAAAAAATTGTAGAAATAAGTTAGAAAACAGTTTAAGTTATAATAAAGAATCACTTTTCGACACTGTTCAATGTACTGTAAATATGTACTAAAAGAATAAAGATTGTTTGAAATGAAATGAAATCAGATAATGATGAGATCGTAAACCGTCTGTCCGACGGTTACGGGTCTGTCCGATTTAGGCATGTTAGATTGGTCATTGGAATTGAATGAATCATCAATAATATTACAAATCACTTGGGAGTTGGGAGAGTTACACGGACAGAATTATGGTTAATTTGGTATTTATTTCAGGTATTTTGAAGGATATTTAGAAGGATCAACTACAGAGGCATATCTCTCCAAAATGTCACCTACAAAATACTTCCGAAAATAGTTCAGAGAAGACTAGAGGAATACACAACAGATATTGTTGGAGAGCATCAAGCAGGATTCAGCAGAGGCAGATCAACGACGGATCAAATCTACATTCTTAAAGAGTCAATAGCAAAGTATTATGAGTTCAACAAATCATTCTGCTGCCTCTACATTGATTTTTCAAAGGCTTATGACTACATAAATAGAAAGAAGTTGTGGATAAACATGGAGCATCTAGGTATACCAAGAAAACTTATAGAACTAGCGAAATTGAGTGTTTTAGGTTCTAATTGCAAAGTTAGAGTAAATGGAGATGTATCGGATTCGGAAGACTTTGAGGTGAACACGGGTGTGAGACAGGGAGACAGGATATCTCCATTGCTGTTCAATTTAGCCATAGAAACAGCCCTTCAGGAGATAAGAAAGACAGAAGTAGGGATTAAGATAGGAACAAACATAAACTTGCTAGCTTTTGCAGATGACATAGTATTAATTACACATAATATAGAAGAAATGAAAGATGTAACAAAAATGCTTATTGAACATACAAGAAAAATGGGGCTATACATAAATGAAGAGAAAACCAAGTTTATGACATGTGGAAGAAAACAAGATGATGACCAACCAAGATACCAAAATAACAACTACATTGAAATTGAAGAGTATAAATTTAAAAAAGTAACAAATTTAAAGTATTTGGGAGTCATCCTCACCAGCGATAATGATGAAGAGCTAGAAATACAAAATTGATTAAACCTAGCACAAAAGTTTTTCGGCCTGTCACAAGTTACGAACTTCAAAAATAATATCCCACACCACCAAACTCAGGATTTATAAGACAATCATCAGACCAGTTCTCCTGTATGGTTCAGAAAATTGGATCTTAAGCAAGAAATCAGAAAGGAAAGCTATTGTATTTGAGAACAAGATTTTGAGGAAAGTGTACGGACCGATTTTTGAGGATGGACAATGGAGATCGAGACATAATTGGGAACTTAGAGAATTATTTAAGGATCCGGATATTGTCGCTGAGGTACGGAGCAGAAGACTGAGATGGGCAGGGCATTGATTAATTACATCTGAATCTGAATAATAATTATCAAAACCCTAGTATCAAAAGTTATATTCAACGCTTAATGCTTACTAAGAAAGAACCAGGGAAGCTCAATAAGAAACAGGAAATGCATGTTAAAGCTCAAAGGTCAAAGGCTGAAGACCAAGAACTGGAGAGGATTCACTTCACTTCTGTATGACTAACTGTGAGTATAGCAAGAGTAAAATGTGCACTTGTTAGGGTTAATATTTTTCCCCTAAAAATATATAATATTTACATGTAAATATTACTTTAATTATTTTATCATTTGAGAAGTTCTGTTAAGTGTAAGCAGTTTGAGGCATATTTTACTACTATAAACAAAGCCAAAACAAGTAACTATTATTTTATATAAATAAATATTGCTTTTATTTTATGATTTATTTTATTTTAGGATAAGTTTAACTCTATCCTAACTGATATCATCATGTTTCCTAATCTTAAGCATTTTTAATAAGTTGGGTGTAATTAATATATATTTTTTATGCTGATGTTTTTTAATAAAAGATTTTAAATACTCTTGCCTATTATTATTATTTTGTATTGAAACAGTCATCTAACAATGTTACAAAATCAGGTAAAAATGTTGAACGAGCATTTCCCGTTGTGTATGAGAAGGGAAATCCCATCTCTATCTCGTCTTGAAATTTTATGAGAAAAAAATATCTCATCTCGTCTCGTCTCTAACTAAAAATCCAATCTCGTCCATCCCTACTTTCTACAATGGTCACCATGAAGCCCTGAATTAGCTGAACAGTTCGCGGGGTCTCATATCTTATGATGTCATCTATATAAAATCCAATGTATGTATGTTTGTAAGTCCTTTATGGCCTCCAAAACCGCTCGACAGATAGTAATGAACCTTTCAGGCATTATTAAGCATTATTCAAGGATGGTTTGTGTGAAGTTTGGTGCAGATCCGTCAAAAGGGCTCCGCCCCAGTGGCTCTGGAGTTCCCCATGTTAACCTTATGAGTAGGCCTACTCATATTTAAATGGAATTAAATAATCTTAACAGCTGGTTCAACTAAACAATTTGATTCTGTGATGCTCAATAGCATTAAAAAGTATAAAGGTTTACCAACAGGGTGTAGCACAATTATTTTTTTTTAATTTATGACAACAGCTAATTTGCAACCAAAAGGTGAATTTTTCAAGATCCAGATCCGGATTGGATCCGCCCATCACTACTTTTATTTATTATATTGTAATGTTGCTACTTTATCACATACTACAGAATAAACCTAAAGTATAATGCTAAGACCAAAAAAAAACTCAATATCAGTATACCTTTTTGATCAAATCTCTGGCAAGCGGTGAGACGTGAGGAGGAAATATGAACAACGATCGCTGGATGCGGTAGTATGTCTCATCGTAGGACTTGGTCTCAAAAGGAGGTTTCCCTGTGACCAGCTCAAAGCACAGCACCCCGAGACTCCATAGATCTACGTTAGCATCATGAGGTTGTCCTGACACCATCTCTGGGGGTAAATAGTCCAGTGTTCCACACAGGGTGTCTCTCCTGTCGGTAAAGAACCATAAATTATCTTTGGCCAAGAGACAGTGACAGTTTGATAAAGGTAGCTGCGCGTCAATCATCTCAGATCATACTTGGAAACAGATAGGAAAGCCCAATCTTTTGTTAAGTAGATAATCTTAACAAAAGATTTTTAAAGATTATAAAGAAGTTTATAACCTTTAAAAAACACGCCGACCAACTACAACATAAAAAATTTCTTGGAGACAGTGACAGTAGTTCAATCTCGGCGAGAAGGTGAAGTGTTCGTGCTTCTTGTCTGTATCAAATTCACAGCATTTATTGCCATATGTTAAAATAACAAGATTGTTTACTTTTTGTTGTCAGTTAGTTTTTACATTAATAAAATATAGTTTTGTTTTACTAAATGTTGTACTTTTTAATTGTATAAGTGAATAAACGTTATTTGTTGCAAAACTAAGTTGTTAGCTGACATTAACACAATGGCAAACTTACTTGGAAGACGGTGCATGGACAGACCAGCCAAAGTCAGCAATTTTAAGTTCCCCTTTTGCTCCCAGTAAGATATTTTCTGGCTTGATGTCTCTATGAATCACTTTCTTGGCGTGACAATATTGTAGTGCATCTGCTAATTGGAGAATCAGTTGCGCAGCTCTGGAGACATGTATTGTCAATTAGGGAGGAGATTCTAATGATTAGTCAGAATATAATGGTGAAGCGATAAAAAAGTAATTACAGTAGTCAATGGTAAAACCTAGTTAGGATGGCAAAAGGTCAGTAGTATTGAACCAAACTGATGATATTATGGACATTGGTGATATGACATCAGCCGCCTGCACTGTCTAATTTAATAAAAGACAATTCAATCAACCAGGAGGAGCCATTAAGAGTCTTCTTCACCCCTGTGGAAACACTAAAAACATGCTGGATTATTAATTAAGATTGATAAAAATGTCTTTCCCTACATATTAATGTTGGTTCTAGAGCCCATGTTGGTTTTAGTGACCAAGTCTCAGGATAGTTACAACTTTTCCAACATATGAATTACCATTACGTTCAAATATATTATGATGATTAAACATATTATGATAGCGCATATAGGTACGGATATTTACTATACAAAAACATTTGATGATTGGTAACTATATTGAAAGAACAAATTAATGCTAGGAAAATTTCAGAGGAAGTGGAAAGTACTCTTATATTGAGTATAGAGCTTTATTTATCAAAAACTCAGTACAGTTTTAAGCTTGCATTACTAGCCTTTTACAAAACTAGGCACAGACAGCAAATGAGTCACCAACCTGTCGCTGTTCACACACCACCTTTCCCTTCAAGGCCATAACTACACTGAGAGTGATGAAGACTCTGACAACGTTGGTAATCAGTTCCCAATCCTAATCGCCAAGCCATTGAAACAATAGAAGCAGTAAGGGCTGACTTAGACTTAGGACAATAATTTTGGTCTTTAGGACCAACATTGTAAACTTGTTTGAAATAAAATATCCTCCAGTCTTTTTGCACTTCAAAATTTTTTAAAACTATGCAGTCAGGCCCGGTCTGGCTTCATTGGAGGCCCTGAGCTAGATGGTGATTTAAGCCCCCCCCCCCCCCTGGAAATAAAACAAGAACCATGGGGTCCTCTCACAGCCACAATAGTTAGGCTATGTTTGCTTCATGTGGCAGGTGCATAAAAGGGCGTAAGGTGGTTTTAAATGCTTTAACATTTTAATAATTTGGATGAAATTAATAGTTGATAAATTTCTATCAATTAAAAATTGCATTTATAAATCTAATTTTAAGGTATTATTAATAAACTTTAAATTTATATAAAATTTGCTTGTATTTGTATTCACCTCTATAGCTTTAATAAAATTTAAAGGCCTATTCTTAAAATTGTTTAAAAATTGTTTATAAGTCTTCAATTAAAAAATAAAACCAAAACTAGTTCTTGGAGTTTTTCCCATACACGTTAGAAATCCTGGGTCGCCGGAATTCTACCCCCGGATATTTACCCCCATGAAAAAACGCCTACGTCATTGTGACATCACGAGGGGCGGGGCCCGGCCTATACACGGTCGAGAAACAGCCCGCGACTGGAAATCTACCCCCGGACATTTACCCCCGTGGTCAGCTACGCTACGTATCGGCCAAGATGCATTGTTGTAATTGATTTCATTAATTGGTTTATGTAAATCAACGGCTCTTCGGTTATTCATTAGCTTATTATGCGAATTAAATTTCTTTTGTAAAACAAAAACTCAAAAATACTTTATTCTTCTTGGGCAATAATATACCCCAAGTCGTTGCCAACACAACAATCAACACAACAGGTGTGTCACCAAAACGATGATATCATCAAAAATATTTAAAAGTAAATAATAAGAAAGCATATTCATAATAGCATATTTAGAAAAAAATATTGATTTCAGAATACGTATAGTTTTTTTTAAACTGCAGAATCTTGTAGTTGTTTTAATCCCAATAACATAAGATAAATGTTATTTGTTATAACCTTATTTAGCTACGTAAATCAAATATGTAAAATACTGTACCTATTCGATCAGTGGTTGTTTCCAAATTGCGACATAAATGTTAACTAGTGACATCGATCTCTGTAGTAATAGAGATCGATGACCAGTAGTCATCATTCAAATTTGTGCTCATTGTACTGTGTGTATTAGAGGTGGCTGTGGTTTAGGTCGTGGCTTATTTTTAACATGTGCTTTGATTCCCTGTTTTGTTTACATTTACGTCGTTATTATGTAAGCACCAGGGCAACCCATAAGTCCAATGTTAAAATAAAAAAAAAATAAACTTAGGGTTACTTTTAATTATATAGGCAGTACAGGGTGTCCAAAGACAATTTTTCATTAATTTCCATGACTTTCCATGACTATCCATGACCATTTACCATTGATTTCCATGACTCTTGAACTTTACTCAAATTATAATATAACATACACACACAAATAAAACTGCCTAGATTTTGCAGAAACTACTGAAATATGTATTAACAGATAACAATGGAGTACAATGGTACAACAATGAACTAATACAAACTCAAAACTCATAAAATAATACAACTGTAATAAATTGAATCGTCGAACATTTGTGAAAAATCCTGAAAAATGCTACAGTAGTCGGAGTTACGGCTGACTAGAGCATTGAACAGTCCCCTCAAATCATCCATCACGGGGAATTTCCATGACTTTCCATGACCTTTTATCTATTTCCATGACTTTCAATGACCAGAATTTTTTTCCATGACTATCCCTGACTTTCCAGAATGTGGACACCCTGCAGTATTATAAATATTAAGTTTGTTTCGTCTAAACCTTCCAAACATTTGACAAAGCAACCTTGGTAAGTTTGGCTAAAATATGTTCCGCCGTTATTGTGTTAATGTGTTAGAAAGTTTGCATTAAAGTCGTTCCCAAAGAGCTTCGCTTCGCTCCACTCATTACTAAATGGACTAATTAATTTTAATCACATTTCTTCAGAGAATATTCTCAAACGTTCAAATAATCCTTCAGAATGACAGCTGGGGGTTCTACCTAATGATAAAGAGAAAATGATCAGTATGGAACATAATTAAAACTTTTACGCGATATGGTGGAAGACCAAATTACATTTTCTTACCGCCAAGTACACTGTAACCTTTCCCGAGAGGCAGCGCAGGTGTTCAAATAGTTTCAACCCTTCAAATAGTTAGCGAAATGATAAAGAGTGACGTTTCCTCTCAAGACTATCTGTTTCTTTCAAGGAGGTCATTGGGAAAATGTACCAAACCAGAAACCAAAACCTGCCATATCGGACTATTAGAAGAGGGGGTGTGTTTTATATTTTTATATAGGTCTTTAAATATTTGTAATATAGTTATTTTTTATATTTTTTGTCATTGCAGCTTCTGATTTAGCTCGAAAAAAATAAGTAGTTTTGATTTATTGCTCTATGATTGTTCGTTACTGAGGTATTGTGCGGTAAACACTTTACGGTGTCCCAATTTTATTTGTCCTATTCACGCTCTAATTCACACTATACGATTTCGCTCTTACGAGGGTTAATCAAACCGTGCGGCACCGATGGAAGGTAGGTCATGAATATAGTGGGATAGTGTGTTCCAGAGTTAGCCAATTCCAAAACCAAACAAGTTAGTGAGTTCCTCTCATTGACCAAATTTGAAGATTGTGCATTTAGCATGGGGTTAGCGAGTTCCAGAGTTAGCCAAATCCATGGAACCCCAATGACTATGACCACATTCTGAAACTCCACATCACAGCTAGATGAAAATATTTGTGATAATCATATTAGACCGTTTGTACAAAATAATGATTACCTTGGCTCATCAAATCTCTTCTCTGGCTGGGCTTGAAGCTCCTTGTACAGTTCACCCTTGGGTGCATACTCCAAAATCATATAGACTCGTGTCTCGTCGTGGAAGTAGCCAAAGAGTCTCAGAATGTTAGGATGCCTGGAAAAATTGAGTATTTTAATTTTACAAGGTAAGATTAAAATAGTTTTCTGGTTTTTTAAGGTACCGTATTAATAGGCAATGCCTTTATTGGTCAAGTATTTACAATTACAATACAAACCTCGATAATCCGGATCCTCCAGTAATCCAGCTCGATCCCTTAAAAAGAAATCATCCTAAAAGAAATAGTGAGTAGCCTATATAATTTCATATTCAGGCCTATTAACTATAAATATAAGAACAAATGAGAACAACACTTTTTTTAGCTAACTTCAACTTCGAACAACCCGGAAATTTTCAAATCATGTGTGAGCAAATATAGATTCCTGCAGAAAGATTTTTAGATGTTTTAGGTCCATTGCGGAGTCTAAAGAAACTGCTTTCAGCAATTCAGGCATACTTGCCACCCGCTCATAAAAAAGCTCATCGCTCCTAGACTGCAATCATTTATTGTTATTATTGACATTGTCAGTCGCTACCCTTGGCTCAGGCAGATAGCATAAAATCAAATTCTCTTTCATTTTGTTCGTACATACATGATAGTGTCATAAAATAGTTAAACCTTCTATTTAAAAGAGAAGGTATATTCTACTCTTTTCAGGGAGGAGGGAAAATGCCTTGGCACATAGGTGGCCAGCCTGTCGTGTGAGACTCCTGAATTTATCAGACTTCAAACTAAAAAACCCTCTCTATACTGTTGGACACAGACCTAGAATTTTTTGTCACATTACTTCAAATCTAGTAGATCTAGTGGTATGGAAGATGTGATCATGCCAGCTAAGCTTACTGTCCACCATGACTGACTTCGACGGCCCCCCACCCTCAATGGCACGATGGTGTCAATCCGTTTTTTGTCAAAGTCGCGATCTCGGTTTTGTTCAAAGCAAGCGAAAGACCGTGTTCCGCCATCCACGCCTTGATGGCTGAGCCAGCTAATGCTACGTGCAGCTATCAAAGCTGCTGGTTGGGTACATTGTCTGCATACCCAACCAAAACAGTTTTCTCAGGCATTCAGACCTCAGAAGGCCGTTGTAGAAGGCTGTTTTCCATTGCAAACTTTGCTAAGAACATAGTGCAACTTCATATAAAGACAGGGGCAGCAGTATGTGTAGTTGCAAAGCGAGAAAACTCATCCAGGCAACTTTATAATGGACTCGACTTTCCTAAATTCATAAATGAACTTTGTCATGAAATTCATGTGGCCGAGAGTATGGCGAGGGAGTATGCACTGAAATCTTCCCAATAGCGCCCATGTGGAAGTGACGGAGCCAAGTCAGTTGTAGAGTCAGCACAATCTCTTGAGTGTCCAGCAGACAAGGTAAAACACCCCGAGTATAACTATTAAATAATTATAAGATATGGTGATATTTCAAATATCCATTTGCACTATGACTGAGATCAAAGTGGTATATATAGCACACTCAAACAATCTAAAAGCATCAAAGATTTACTCAGGGTGGCTGGCTAGTGAAATCACATTGAAAAATTCCCTGACTTTTCCCTGACAATTCCATGATTTTTTTTAACTTTCCCCAGATCGACAAATTCAAAATTACAATTTAAATACTACCTAACTCAAAAGGACTAATCTTTATCTGAAGAATATCTTATGTTTGTTTACATGAAAAACATACATAAAACCTAGAGATACAGGCTAGCTTATATTCAGACTCTGCAACTTACCTTAATAAAATTAAACTGAGTTAAGATGATACGCAGTTTATAATAAAATTTAATTCGTAAAAAAATCCATTGACTAAGTTAAGACTGAAGACAGAACAAGGTACGTAACCTATTATATATTCGATTATCAGTCTTGGTGGCAAAGATGTTTAAATTGTAAAAAAACACAAAATTTATTTGTAGAGACATATTTCTTAGTTTTCACCCACACGGCACACATACTCTCGACCTTTCCTAACAATTATTAAAATTATGTTAAACATTTTACAATTTTCCCTGACTTATGACAAAATTCCCTGACTTTTCCAGATATTTAATATTCCCTGACATTTCCAGGTTTTCCAGGTCACTAGCCACCCTGTTTACTGGATAAAAGAATTATGAACAGTGTTATTTTAACCAATTTTAAGCTGTGTATTAACATATTATATAAAATTTACCTCAAATGAGATTGTATTTCAATTTCTCTTCTGAGCTGGTGTTCTACTCGAGCTTTTTGTATCTGAGATTTGAACAACACTTTGATTGCTACAATAAACTGCGACTGTTTTTCTCTGGCAAGGTAGACATTCCCAAACTTTCCTTTGCCCAATGCCTTGCCTATGTCAAAATCACTAAGGGTCCATTTTTTCCTGAAAATAATAAAAATTATAAATTATGGATTATTTTAGCAGATATTAAGTATCCAGTTATAGCCTATACCCTACCCAGTTATCAAATGAATAGAAATAATTTTAAAATGAGATAAAACATGATTTTTTTGTTCTTTGATTGTTCTGGTTTTGTTCTTCCCAAAAACACTTTCTTTCACCAACTGTTTGGATGAATATTCACAAATTGGTAGCCATACGATGTTAAACATCATAGGATTTATTTAATTTTATTTATATACATAAACAAATCATATAATAATTATTTAATTTTATTGATTGACATTGACATTCATAAACAAATCTATGTAACTAATACGCCAACACGAAATTTGCTCCTCCACCATTTCTTAACCGATTTTGACCATTCACGTCTCATTGGAAAGAGCTAGTCGGGTAGATTTGAAAACTGGACTTAATTTTTTTAAAGTCCCTCAGGCTCTGCCCCAGTGGCTTTTGAAGTTCTCATGTTATCCTTATGAAGAAAATATTTGTTTACATTATGATTAGCTGGATAATTTAATTGCTGTTAATTTTGCAATGGAAACGCATGTATAATAATATTCAATGATTTGGTTGAAATTAAATATTTACTTTGAATTTGGGTTTGCGTACATATTACAATGGAAAAAAGCTAGAAAGCCTGGTCCATTATCTATTTGATATTCTATCAAATAAGATAAATAAATTGACATAGTACTATATTTCTTGAGCATTCATTGAAAGAATCGATTTGTAAACTATGGAAACATAGTTTTAAATAATTTACTATCGTTATTAGCCTGTACATATATTTAAGAACACCTACAATATGAAGATTCCTACAAACAATGAACGAGGATGTTTGCCGAAGTGCTAATATTTTTACTAGTAGGAAACATGGACTTTACTTTGTGATCATTGCAGAGGAAACCCCACTAAGACTGAATAAAATTGGTTCGGCAAGGACATTAAATGTATGTTTCAATAAAAGTCGTGATTTTAAAAGAATATAACTACATCCAAGAAACCTTTAGTCAAACTTTCATTTAAGGATTTAATTATTTTTCACGTTTATGGAAAAAAAAATACCATCTGAACAACATCAGGCCTTTTAACCCTTTCAGTGCCAGGCCAATAATTCATGTTTCGTAAGACTTTTTTGTTTGCCTTTTGATTCCATTACATTTTGTTGAATTTTAAGTTAACTGTATTGTTGTCACTATATTAATAATTAGGGTAATTTTGAATAATAAGACAATAACAAATATATAACAAAGAAAAGTCCGGGTATTTGTAATAAACATTAAATAAAACTTTGTATTTGTTGTAAATTTCCAAGTCTATATTATTTTTATAAAAGAGGAAGTTTGTATGTATATATATATTTGAACGTAATGGACTCCGAAACCGCTCGACAGACTGTAATGAAACTTTCAGGCATTATTAAGCATTATTCAGGGATGGTTTGTGTGAAGTTTGGTGCAGATCCGTCAAAAGGGCTCTGCCCCAGTGTCTCTTGAGTTTCATATGTTAACCTTATGAGTACTTATATTTCAATGGAATTAAAAAATCTTAACAGCTGGTTCAAATAAACAATTTGATTCTGAGATGTTCAATAGCATTAAATAGTTAATAGGTTTACCAACGCGCAATAGGGCGCAGCACTATTATTTTTTTTTATTTATGACAACTGCTAATTTGTAACCAAAAGGTGAGTGAGCGTAGCAAACGAACTTCAACCTGGAGGCGAGTTAGCGTAGCGAACGAACTAAGCCTGAAGGCAAGTGAGCGCAGCGCACAAGGTCCAACCTAAAGGTGAGTAAGCGTAGCAAACAAACTTCAACCAGGACATGATTGAGCGATGCAAACGAGCTCATCTTAAAAATTAACGAGCATTTGACATAAAACCACATTAGGAAAGGACGACGTCTGTCGGGCCAGCTAGTTTTCTTATAAATTGTTATGTTCTGATAGCATTGTTTGAAACCAAAATCTCATGAACTCGAAAGACATCAAGTTTACAATGTAATATTGAATTTAACCTTGATTTAGTTTGATAAAGTTATCATAATATAGCCATTTTAGAAAAAATGGTTTTTTGCAGCAAAGCCTCAGTAACACAATTCATCACTGTTGTGGTTCAAATGAAAATGTCATCTAATTAGTTTGTGACTAACTAGTGCTGCTACCTTGTAACGCATTGAACAACCTTCTATAACGCTATCTGTTCGCAATCGTTGGCGTCAGCGTCAGTGAAAATACTGGTTTTTGACTCCTCAGTCTCCAAGCACAGATAGCCGAGAAGACTAGGGCGTGTGTCACTTGGCCAGTGGCATTAGTTTGCTCGGGTTCGATTCCCGTCCTGTGTGGCAAATAATTGGTGACCTGTGTGTTTGTAGCGATATACTACAACCACTGGGGCATAGTGAGTTGTTCATAATCCTTTGTTTAGACATATACCTCGAATAATCGGATTGGGCGAATGTTTTAGCTTAGTGGTTATTAGTGTATCCTATGAACATGCAGGTCAACGATGGCCGTTTTGCTACTTTTTGTAAAAATACCCTTCCTCTCTACATATCCCTTAGAGATTTTAGTTAACGCCAAAATATCTTCGCATAGCACTCAAATAGTTAACTTTGCATTTTCTCAGGTGAATATTACAGTAACTAACCAAAATAATGCCAATTAAAGCAAATAAAATCGTGACAGACAGGTTATACAGGAAATACAGGTAGTTCTTAAGTACCGGTAATTTGAACAAATGTTAACGCTATTAAAAAAATAACTGAATCTTGCAAACATCCTGGCGACAATGGGTAGTATCATGCAGGCTACATTATCAATGAGTGGGAAATGTTTCTAAAAAACATCAAAAAACGAGATCAGATTTTGAAAAATGATAAGACATTTACAGGAAATGTTGATTATATTGAACTGTTACGGACATCGTGAGTATTTCCAATAGTTACATCATCTTTGAGTTCCCTCTTTTTACTCATTGGAAATTATGACTGTTAATCGTTTCCAAACAAGTCCTGTAATATTTTGCAATTGCTCGATTTCAAGCAACTTATACCTAGGCATATAATAAAAATAATAATAATAATAAACATTAGTAATCAAAAACTGTAAAATCGTTTCCTCTGCAGATTTGTTGGGAGCGTTTCATAAACTCCAAATTTCACAAACTCCAACGCTTAAAATATTAAATGAACAGCGTGTTTCATAATGTCCAAATTTCATAAGCTCCAAAACTATAACATTCAAATAATCACTGTTTCACAATGTCCAAGTTTCACAAACTCCAACGTTTAAATATTAAATAAACAGAGCGGTTCATAACCTCCAAATTTCATAAGCTCCAAAACTATAACATTCAAACAATCACTGTTTCACAATGTCCAAGTTTCACAAATTCCAACGTTTAGATACCAAATAAACAGAGCGGTTCATAATGTCCAAATTTCATAACCTCCAATGGTACAGTCTGGGCCAGAAGTCTCTCTAGTGGTTGCCACAGTCAGATAGCAGGCACCGTTCGCCAGCGCTCAACTACTGATTATACGTACATTTTAATGATTGAAGAACACTCAGCTGTGTGACTCAAATATGTGTTAGCACACAATGTGCAAATCAAATTTACATTTTAGCGAATTTCCCCTATAGGGAATAAGCTATTACCGTAGTACTCATGGTAAGACCTGGTCCCGGGACCGATTTACTTTTTCATTTTGAGGTCCCTAGAGACCAAAAACACCATCAGTTCAAATTCATATATATATATCTATTTATTTATATATATTTATATGTGTGTGCGTTAGCGCGATAACTCGAGCAAAAATCATCCGATTTTGATTAAATTTGGTAAAAACGTGTAAACCTACGTTTATTCGAACGATTTCGCGAACCAGCATGATCGGACTGTGGGAACTCTTAAGAATATATACTTATACTCTTAAGAAAGCAATTACGGAGCAACAATGATGCTTCATGTCGCGCCGCTACAACAGTAGAACGTGTAGCGCCTACATACGAACCACGGCAACCTCTGCAGCGACTTCTGGCAGAGACTGTACCGTTGGAGCTTATGAAACTTGGAGGTTATGAACCGCTCTGTTTATTTGATATTTAAACATTGGATTTTGTGAAATTTGGACATTGTGAATCGGTGATTATTTGAAAGTTATAGTTTTGGAGTTTATGAAATTTGGAGGTTATGAAACGCACTGTTTATTTAATATATTAATAATGGAAGTTTGTGAAATTTGGACATTGTGAAACGGTGCTTATTTGAAAGTTATAGTTTTGGAGTTTATGAAATTTGGAGGTTATGAAACGCACTGTTTATTTAATATTTTAGACGTTGAAGTTTGTGAAATTTGGACATTATGAACCTCACCCTTGTTGTGAATATGTATAATAATAAATTCATAAGAGAAGATTATTGCTTTTATTTAAGTTTACTTCATTGATTAAAAAACAAAACTATACACTTATTATTACAAAACATTCTTATCAATCCATCTATTTTTAGTTTTCTCAGTAAATCTGTTCAAATATATCAAAAAGAGCTCTTACCTGTTAGGATCTGAGTTACTCTCTAATCCCATTTTCATATCCGATTCAACTTGATCAGCAGTGAGTGTTTTGCCATTAGATGTTTGAAAAGTAGCTTCACTTTGTATCACAGCTTTAGGTTGTTCTTGAGTTTGAAGTGGAATTCCTGAAGGAAGAGGTTTTGTAACTGTCTGGACAGTGTTTCCAACAGAATAGGAAGATTTTGTAACTGTCTGGACAGTGTTTCCAACAGAATAGGAAGATTTTGGAACTGTCTGGACAGTGTTTCCAACAGAATGGGAAGGTTTTGGGACTTTCTGGATAGTGTTTCCAACAGAATGGGAAGGTTTTGGGACTTTCTGGATAGTGTTTCCAACAGAATAGGAAGATTTTGGAGCTGTCTGGACAGTGTTTCCAACAGAATTGGAAGGTTTTGGGACTTTCTGGATAGTGTTTCCAACAGAATGGGGAGGGTTTGTAGCTGTCTGGACAGTGTTTCCAACAGAATGGGGAGGGTTTGTAACTGTCTGGATTGTGTTTCCAACAGAATAGGAAGATTTTGGAACTGTCTGGACAGTGTTTCCAACAGAATGGGAAGGTTTTGGGACTTTCGGGATAGTGTTTCCAACAGAATGGGGAGGGTTTGTAACTGTCTGGATTGTGTTTCCAACAGAATAGGAAGATTTTGGTACTGTTTGAACAGTGTTTCCAACAGAATGAGAAGGTTTTGTAGTTGTATGGATTGTGTTTCCAACAGAAAGGGAAGATTTTGAAACCGCTTGAACTGCATTTCCTCCAGAGTGAAACTGTTTTGTAGTCGGTTGTGTGGGTTTTGACAAAGACTTTTGTAGACTGGTCCCAGTCTGAACTTTTGTTTGCCCGGTTGTGGAAACTTGATTTCTTTGTTCTCCACTGGTATGTTGACTACCAGTATTCACATTTGGTTTGGATCTATAAAAATTGCACATTTTATTTAATGTAACATGTCATAATCAAAACATTGTGAAAGTAAACCATAAATGAAGAATAACATGTTAGGGTCCTGACTGAAACTGTCTAAAATAGTCTATTTCTAGTAAGAATTTGTAGGATTCCCAAAACATTGGGATGGGTCGGGACCAATGTCATTCCCGACTAACACTCGGAAATTAAATCATAGCCTCTCCTAATAGAAGGCCGTGGCAAGACAAAACAGGCAACCACAGCTGATGTTGCGACGTTGCCACACACCAACGCCGTGACCTTGTATTAGAAGAGGCTATGCCATAAATGAACTTCGGAAAATTTTGGGATGGAACAGGTAATTGGAGGTTATTGGAAAATAAATTAATTTTCAGTCAAACATACAATTATTTCCATTGTAATATCATAGACAAAAAGAATTAAATATAGACTGTCAGCCATGCTACTGTTACCATGGGTTCTGGTGCACACCGCTTGGAGCGCCGTGTAGTTACGTAGCACGTACGCCGTAACTACATGGCGCTCTAAGCTCTGTGCGCCAGAACCTATGGTATCCGCAGCACAGCTGCAGGTCTATATTTAAATCTTTTTGTCTATGGTAATTGTTCGATATTCATATCTTTAGAGTATTTAGAAATTAGGTAATCATTATGTTAATTAAGTCACTGGTTAATTAATCATGCTAATGTGTATATAAATCACCATCCTTTTAGTGTAATATTATTTAGTCTCAATAACAATTTATTGTAAATAGACTCCCGCTTTCAATATTCAAATGAGATTGCTAAGCCCGCTCGAATTTCCCACCACAGTAAGGCCTATTTTCCTGTACTACATACCCATGAATCACCTGACGCCGTGTTTGCTTCAATCGCATTTCCTATTGGCCATCGAATTCCTAGACCCCTCTAAACCGTAATTGCATTTTTAAAAGTGCAGCCGGCGATCGGCGTCTGTCTGTCCAAGGTCGGCGTCCATAACTCACGGTTTACTCCGTTTCTATTCTCTCGGGACATTAATTGCCCATTTTACCTCTCTTTAACGCATTTTTAGGCTATAGATTAATTATATCTGGCCTCTCTCTCCTCTACAGTACATTTAACAATATTTACATTTTAATTTCCCCCTTTTGTTTGTGATTAAATTACTTATATTGTGATCAGTGTTTCCAGACTCTTCTGTACCTCAAGACAGTGTGTGCGTGTTCGTGATTTCTTCTAGACTTTCCGTTCGATTCTCAACGCGACTTCCGCGTATTAGTGAGCTCTTTGTGTTTTATAAACTTGGGTGCGTTGCGTTCTTCAAAATTCTACAAAACAGAAGCACTCGGTTTAAGGACTCCGCCATCCGCCATCGCTCCGCCATAGAAGACGCCGCTGCCATCCTCTCCACTCCTTTGGATAATTGGACTCAAGGTACAACCTTAAAGTTTTGTGTGTGTTTTAATTAGACTCCTAACTAATCTCATTTGCCCCTCACAAGACACTTTATTTCACCTCGGGACCTCAGTGCCCTTCAAATTGCAGATTCGCCATTTTTCTCTAATTTATTATTTTTCTCTTGAACTATTAATTAGTTCTGGTCCTTCGAGTTATTAATAATTTTCATTTCACCCATTACGCCCTCAACAGTAATATTAATCAGAAATGAAATAACGAGAGACGTCAACTGTTTTTTCTCAAGTCAAACCGTAAATCTAATGAGACAAGCCAGATTGCACAATGGATTTACATACGAAATATGAGCAGACAGCAAGCAGGTGCAATGTAAGGAAGAGTTGTCATTAAATGAATATTAAAATATAAAAACATTCACAACATTTATTATTTTATGTACCTATGTTTTTTCATTACATTCCATTGTTCCTTTTAGCAAATTTCCCTAAAGGGAAGTAGCTATCTTACTAATATTATAAATGTGAAAGTTTGTGTGTTTGTTTGTTTGTTTGTTTGAAGTTCAATCACACATTAACTAATGGTCGGATTGGACTAAAATTTGGCATGATGATAGCTCATATTCCCGATTAACATATAGGCATAATTCTTATCTTAAAAATCTTTTCGGGCTCCGCCCCAGTGGCTCTTTAGTTTCCCATGTTAACATTATGAGTATTCATATTTAAAGGGAATTGAAGAATTTCGTCAGCTGTTTTAACTAAAAAGTTGGTTCTATGATATGCAAAAGTATTAAAGTTATAAGATTCTATTCACCATCAGGGTGCAGCACTATTATTTTTTTTGCATTTATGAAAACAGCTAATTTGAACTAAGCAGCAACAAAAAAACTGTGATAGGCAATGAGAACTGTCAAAGTAGGATTATTTACAGTTATGTTTATGTTTTTATTTGCATGAATAATTTGTTATATTTTGTGAATTTTTAATAATTAATTTTTCTCTATTGTTTAGGTGAAGTGGTAGAACATTATGGCTATGGTAGATGTGTAATACTATAGTATACCTTAATTTAAAGAAGCAAATTTTATCAAACTGTGTCCTCCCCCATTGCAAACGCTAAGAGTATAACTGCAATAAGCATTTTACACTTATATGCCAACCCCGTACGAAGGACGGGTACTCTGCTAGTTATTAATATATGTGGCACAGTAAGACCTATATATACATACACATACATACAGTGCTTGGACTGAGGTGCCAGAACTGTAACCTGTAATGTGATTAGTACCTATTTATGCCATTATTTTTAACTTTCTTAACTTCTAGCAATTATGTTTCTTAATTACTGATAAAAAGATCATTCATGAAAAAAAGATCTCAATGTTGTTTAAGGCAAATTAGTTCTTGGGATTATACTCACAAGATGTGAGTGGGTCTCATGTTAGGGTTTGTTATTATTCTATTCTTCTGACAAAGAACCACAGTAGAACTGGCTTCTTTACTCGCTTCTTTCAAACCAGTGGCGCTTGAATGCATAGAAGTCATCAAAGATCTTCTCGCGGTGTTATTCGATGATAAAGGGACGATGTCTGGTTTTAATGTTGGTTGTTTCAGAGGAGGAGGTCGTTGGATGACATCTGGTTTGTTGCCTGAAAACATCCTATAAATTAATACCAATCAACTCTAAGAGCCTGGAAATTAGTGGTAAAGTTATATCTAAATTATATTCAACCGCATATGTAACTCTCTCACTAGTGATGCAAATGTTAATCCACTTCTAGAATAGCTAGAACCTGAAATTTGGCACGCTTGTAGGTCTTGGTACCAAACCCCCCAAAATTTGGAATTCCCCCCCATGTTATTCTTAAAGGAAAAAATATTGAACATTTCTGATATTGGAATGGGGATCTAAACCATTTAAAAACAAGGTAGAGACTACAAATTAGGCAGTATTGTAAAACCTAATCTCAAATTAATGGTAAAATTTCAAAAAGTCACATTTTCAAATTTAACCCACCAAAAAATCTAAAATGTCCTACATCTGAAAACAACAAAACATAATATATCGAATTTCCCATATAGGGAATAAGTTATTACTGTAGGTCAAATTCATATACAGTAGAACCCCTCATATCCGGCCTTGGTTTTACCGGTCCTCTGTTTATCCGGCCCCTTCCAGGAAGCCAATAAGAAAATGTTTTTCTCGCATCTTACAGACATTTAGATGCAAGCACTAGTCTTTGTGTTTACTCAAGTCATAAAATGAATTGTTCTCACTATTTATCTGTTTGTTTATAATTTATTTACTGTGTCACTATACTCAGTTTGAGCTAGTAGGCCTAACCTCTGAACAGTTGGTTGATTATTTTCCAAAGTGGGGTTAGTACAGTACAGTACCGTACCGGTACATTAATTTTTGTATTTCACTAAGTGGATAAGAAAGTTGAGTAACTTATAAATGCATGTACCATTTAAGTCCTAATGATCTTCAAGTCCAATTCATTGTCATTTTACCTCCATTATTGTTTAATATTTTTTGTAGGCCTACCTGGAATCATAGTATTTGTGCTATCATTACTTAACGACTTTAGCTTACAAATATTTTTTTTTTAAGTCATAAACATGTTTATTCTTCTAAAAATAATCCCAGAACAGACTTGAATGATACTTTTGACTGCATATATTGATTAGATAATATTAGATCAATGGTCATTTTCATAGTAGGTTGGTTTATCCGGCCAAATCGTTATCCGGCCAGGGGCTTGGTCCCGTGGTGGCTGGATATGAGGGGTTCTACTGTATATATATATATATAGGTGTGTGTGGGTGTGTCCGTTAGCGCGATAACTCAAGCAAAAATGATCTGATTTTGATGAAATTTGGTACAAACGTGTAAACCTACTGTTCAGTATGGTTTTGTAAATATGTTAATCAGTAATTTCATCATTAATCATTAATTTTATTAACATTTAATTAACAGTGTGCATAGGTTTTTAACAATACAATACATAAAAGAAAGGAAGAAATATATAATTTACATATTGACACAGAAAAGTTAGAAGACAAACAGGTAACAAGAGAATTCAAGCTGAAACTAGAAAACAGATTCCAAGCTTTACAAAACCTCCAAAACTGGAATGTGTTTAAGGAAAGCATAATAAAAACAGCAAAAGAAGTGTGTGGGAAAAAGGAAAGAACCAACAAAAAACCCTGGTTTGATGAGGAATGTGAAACAAAGGTAATAGAGCAAAAGGAGAAGAAAAGGGCATGGTTGTGCAGCCAGTCCACAGAAGATAAACAACAGTACAATGAAATAAGTAGAGAAACAAACAGAATATTGAGACAGAAGAAAAGAAGGTACATAAATAGTCTGATTGAAAAAGCAGAAGAAGAGTGCACAGCAAATAATGCACGAGATTTTTACAAAAAAGTAAGGTTTTTCAAAAAAGGTTACACTCCAAACCCTTATGGAGTGAAAAACAAAGAAGGCATTGTTGTTACAGAAACCCAACAGGTTATAGAAAGATGGAGAGAATATTTCTGCGACTAATTAAATGTAGATGGTGTAGACTTTGCACCAGAAGAAGATAACGATGACGTATACTATCACGTTCAACCAAAGGTTGAGGCACCAACCAGAGAAGAAGTCGAAGCAGCAGTCAAAGCTCTAAAGAGCAATAAAGCCCCGAGCAGAGATGGGGTAGCAGCAGAAATACTGAAGAAGGGAGGGGGAGTAGTAATAGGAAAGCTTTGGGAACTGATTAAAATAATCTGTGAGAGAGAAGAAATTCCAGAAGAATGGAGGGAAGCAATAGTAGTCCCCATTCACAAGAAAGGAGAGAAAGAAGAATTTAGTAATTTTAGAGGCATATCACTCCTTAGCATACCGTACAAAGTTTTATTAAAGATAGTATTAAATCGGATCGAAGAATATACAAATGAACTAATCCTAGATCATCAGGCTGGTTTCATGAAAGGCAGGTCCACAATGAATCAAATATTTATCCTTAAAGAAGTCATATCGAAGTATTGGGAGTTTAATAGGGAGTTTTTTGCAATATTTATTGATTTCAAAAAAGCGTATGATAGCATAAATAGAGAGAAACTGTGGAAAAAGATGGACAAATTTGGAATCCCAACCAAACTTATAAACCTTGCTAGAACAACTGTAGCAAATTCCACATGTTCAGTAAAAGTAAATGGGAGAGTCTCGGAGCCCTTTACAGTAATTGCAGGGGTAAGGCAAGGGGATGGGCTCTCCCCAATCCTCTTCAACCTAGCAATAGAAGAAGCTCTACAAGAAGTGGCAACAATAGATAAGGGAATTTCAATTGGCTCCAGAATCAACATATTAGCGTTTGCAGACGATGTCGTCATTTTTGCAGAAACTTTAGAGGACCTACGCCAATTAACAAAAGTATTTAAGGACAAAACAGGACAATTAGGACTAAAAGTAAATGATGAGAAAACCAAATATATGAAATTTTCAAGAAATCAAGGTATAGCCCGACCCACTGCAGGTAGATGACCATAAATTTGAAAAAGTAGAACATTTTAAGTATTTAGGGGTTATCTTATCCAGGGAAAACAAAGAAGAAATAGAAATTCCAAATAGACTAAATCTGGCAAACAGATGTTTCTACGCTTGCAACAGACTGATGTCCTTTTAAGTTACTGTCAAAAAACACCAAAGTTAGAATTTATAAGACAATAATCAGCCCAGTATTATTATACGGAGCTGAAACATGGAAACCAAATAAAAAAGAAGAAAAGAAGTTAATCACATTCGAAAATAAGATTTTAAGGAAAATCTATGGACCAATTTATGAAGGTGGTGAATGGAGGAAGAGACACAACAGAGAACTGAGAGAAATCTACAGAGATCCAGATGTGGTGTGTGAATTTAAGTGTAGAAGAGTTAGATGGGCTGGACATGTTTTACGAAGAGAGGAGCAAAATAAGTTAAAATTAGTTTTACTAAGAAACCCCGAAGGAAGACGACCGAGAGGAAGGCCAAAACAAAAATGGTGGAGCCAAGTAAAGAAAGACATGGAGCAACTAGGAGCAACTGAGGAGGATGCAGAGGATAGAGCAAGATGGAGAGGCTTTGTTGGTGCGGCCAAATATCTTCTTAGATATGCATGGCCCTGAGAGTAAGAGTAAGTATAGGTTTTTAACATTTATTTGTAGCCTATGTTAATTATTTATTTTAAGTCTGTAAAATGTATTCCACTCTACTCACACACACACACCACTGCAATTCCCCTCCCTCATTTTCTCCTCAAAATCATACGATGCTTACGTCATATGGCGTGATACATCTCTGTTTCTTTCCCTCTCATGGAAAACTCAAATTTTCCCACCATGATTTTATTCAGTTAGCGTCTAAAACCTTCCTTGATCGGACGTATGTGCCGCGCCGCGCCGTTATTATGGCAACCTCGGTCTTTTGACCACCTCGTGGTGGAAGTGTCCCCACATTAAAACCTCTCTCTCTTTATCAGTGAACAATAATACTAAATTCTCCCTTTCGAGTGTGTGCAGTGCCTCAGAACTCCAAGAACTTCTTGTGTGTTCCTCAGCGTGGTGAGCTCATCCAATCCCCATTCCCCCTGCTACCTTCCAGTGTTGGATTTTTCTCATTAAAAAGGTATGTGACACTGTTTTTCTCAACTCTAATTAACTCCCATATCGAACATTTTGGTCCTTCGAGCCGGATGTGCTACGAATCACGCTTTGGAAACCTGTCACTTTGCAACTTTGAACTTTGATTCGGCGTCCTTTGTAAAGCCACATGTTTATTTTTCATTATTATTTCACTGAACTCAAGTCTCAAACTCTCTCTCACAATTTTCTGTGCAGTAAACACTAATTTGATTGTGCATAAACTTTGAACATTTTGTAGTGCAAGTGCTTATTGAAATTACTTATTTTAGTTTTGGCGCGGAATCGCCATTTTTTCTTGGTTGCGTCGGTCGTAAACGAACGAGGGAAACGACACTTCCCCCTCTTTGCAAATCAACTTATTGGACGATATGCGCTCTTGCGCTAACTTCGTTTGGTGACCGTATCAAACGTGATCGTTCTCCCCCCACTGATCGATCAGCTGTGCATTTGATGTGAACGTTATTCTTCTCCTCTCCTTCCTCTCACAACAACAACAATAACCTGGAAACCACCCTAGCAGCCTTGTCCGCCGTACGGAAAATCTGATCCCGCCAGCTAAGCTTGCTGTCCACCATAACCCCAAGGTAATTGGCAGAACGAACGGTCTGGACTTCGACGGCCCCTACCCTCAACGGTAAGATTGGTCAATCCGTATACTAGTTAATATCACAATCTCAGTTTCGCTCAATGTAAGCGAGAGACTGTGGTCTGCCATCCATGCATTTATGGTACGCATAACTCGGTTCAGCTTTGTCCTCCAACATGTCCTCCTAGGTGTCTAATTTACCACACCAAAAGCCCCGAGGGTGGGGGGCCGGGAAGTTGTAGCCATCTTGGATTTTATGTGCCACTGTTAGGTGTTTCCAAAATATCTCGAAAACTATTAACTTTTTGTATATGAATTAGGAAATTAAAGAAGATTACATTTCCTACAGAAAAGTATATGGTGTAACTATTGGCGAGCTCACAATAACCGCATTATTTGTAATAGTTTCTTATATTACAACTTTTTTGTGTGCTTACCCTCGCCTTCATCTTGGAACAATTTTCATGATTAAAGTGTGTGTTTTTATGATTAACTGGGGGCTTAGGCCTACCATGGTGTTTGTGACAAAACTAGGCCAGTCATGTTTCCTTAGTGTGTGAAAAAAGTATTAATAGTAGGCCTAGGCCTCACTAACAATATGTCCTTACTTCCTGTTTAGTGGCATTACCTAAAATATCTAGAACTAGGAGTTTTAAAAAAGTTACCACATATAGGTAGCCTACTTATTTTCTACTTACTTCCAACTAGTCCAGATGATGAAGTAGTTTTTGTAATGGATGGCCGTTGAACTGGCAGAATATTGAATGAGCGACGTTGGTAATTCTCTGGTTTCTTTTTCTCCGTACTGCCTTTGGAGACAACTGATTTTCTTGATACACCATTGTTCATTGAATTGGATCTAACTCTGGCAGGCAAACTATTCTCTTTCCCCGAAGGAGCCATTTTCTATACTTCCCAAATGTGCCTGTAAAAATATTAAAAGTGAGTAACTTAAGCCTAGGCCCAATAGTTTTAATACAGTACACTCCTGATTATCCAAGATAGTTTTTGGCCTAAATATTTTATAATTTATTTTCAGTAGGAAAACTAATAAATTTATTACAAGTAGTATGTTTCTATTAAAATAAACGTAAATAAAATTACCAATTAATTTGCAATTTGTTGAAATGAACTGCAATAACACGGTCTACTAGGTTGGTTAGCCACCGACGGCAAACTGGACTGGATGAGCTGTCTGCAGAACATTAACTATAGCAGTGTCGGTCTTCTGAAAACCAAACAAAGTTAAACAAATTGTAATTTTATACTTTTGAACAAAAAATATCCACCATAGTGTTTTGTTTTAAATGATGTAGAGTATTGGCTTATTATGATTCTTATAAAAATTGTAGGGCTTATTATACTTTAAGTTTTACAAGACGATTAAAGAGGTGTTTAACCATTCCTGGACGGGTGACGGACATATCCGCCTAAGCCTTTGGCAATAAAGGACGGGTGGCGGATATATCCGCCTTCTCTTCAGACAGACTGGCAGGTGCTTGAGCAGTAACCAGATGTTTTGCGATACCAAGGCGCCACTTTCCTGCTCTCTCCATGGCTGCGCTCTCTCTTGCACTCCCCCCTCTCAGCCCACGCCTACCCCTCTCCCGCGCCACCCCCTCCCAGCCACTCCTAGGCTCCCCCCTCGACGTTTCACGCTCAACACTACGTTGTCTTTATTTATTGCCTAACGCTGTCATGGTCATATCTCCAAAGACGGGTGGCGGACATATCCGTTGCTTTTCTACTTATCCGCGGACGGGTAGCGGATATATCCGCATAGTTAAAAACAAGTAAAAATTTATTTTGACAGTATGAAGCGTTCCATTGTGTTTATTTTATGTATACTTGTATAACAAAACACAATAAGAAAATTTTTTATTTTTTCCTATAATTTGTCCCCGTTTTTGTCACGATTTTGCTCGTCCGGGTAGGGTTAACTGTTTGAAAGTAGGATATTTGACTTCATTATCATAATAAGGTATCTTAACCCTAACCTTTAAATGTATGCGACCTCTAGGTTATCTGAGATTCTTGGTTATCGAGACAGTCTCGGTCCCAACAGCCTCGTTTAATCGGGAGTGTAGTCAAAAGCTCACTGGTGGTTTTAAAATGTCCCTAATCTAAATTAAATCAATTTTAATAAAATAATAATAATATTAATTTAATAATAATTTTTTATCAATTTTAATCAGAGTATGTAGGTAGGGTTAATTATACCTTTAAGTATTAAGGAAGGTTTCTTAGAGATGATGTTTTTTACTTAAGTAGCAATATGAGTAGGCCTACAGAACCTACCTAAACTAAAAGCAATGCACATTATATTTTTTTATTGAGGCAAACAAATATTTAAGGAATAATTAAGCTATTTAATTTGTGTCCGTTCAAATTAACACGTTCGCTACTGAGCGTCGCATATATGCGACGCCGCGGTCATTGTCACAGACCAAGGTATACATTTGAATCTTACACATGGACCGGCTGTCTCTTGGTTAACAGTACACACAGACCACGGGTGAAAACCAGTAAAACAGTGATCATTTACATTGTAATGTGCTACAATCGTGTTTGTAAATAATTTATTCTTGTTTTTTGTATTTTTTTATAATCTTTTGTAATGTCGCATATTTGCGACACCCGGTCTACAGCAAAGACAATAGTGAAAATTAGGCTATCTTAGTTTTCTTTAAATAGACCATACGTCGCATATAGGCTATGCGACGGTTCATTTTTGTTTGTGTTTGTGTTTTGTGGTAAAAGTAAGTAAAAAAGACAGATTATTCAAGATCAGTTTATAACTGAACAAATATAAAAGCTACAGAGGATAATACATCATAAATACTGCATACATACATACGGTGATGCAGAAAAGTAAAGACCAGTTTTTACAATTATCATATGACGTCACCAATCATCATATCCACAGACCAAGCGACGCAGTTGTGCGTCAGACATCTCTGTAGACCACTGAAGGGAATTCAGTGCCTTCAAATAGACCGTTACAAAGATATAAGTATTTTAATAACATTAGAACCCCGACACAAATATATGTCATGAGTCTATTTTAATGTGACTAGCCGTCGCATATGTGCGTCGCTGGTCCATGTGAATGAAAAATTTCGTACTATTGCAGTAGCGAACGTGTTAATTATATATATATATAGGCATTTATACAATTGTTTGGGTAAAGGGCCACTATTATATATTAAACAAAGCATACTAACTCAGTAGGAATACCCTGAAATTATTTTTTTATTTTTTAAACTCTACATGTTTCAACCTTTAGGCCATTTACAAGAGTAACATATTTAACCTCACTTTAAACACAACAAATTGTTAATAAAAAAATAATGTAGAAGAATATATTAATATTTAAATTATAATTAGGTAGGCTAATATATATATTTATATTATAAGGTATTATATAAGTACTTATATATGTGTGTCCGTTAGCACAATAACTCAAGCAAAAATGATCCGATTTTGATGAAATTTTGTATAAACGTGTAAACCAGCATGATAGGACTATGGGAAGGGGGGTTTATGGGGGGTTTTATTGGGTAAAAGTTGGTTTTTCCCATTTTTGACCCTAAAAACACAAAATTTTACAATTTCTTTTCAAACCATTTTGTAGAGCTTAAAAAAACAAATAGGCCTAATTTAGTTTATTGAAGCATTAATGTGCTTAGCTTCTTTTTGGTAGGAAAATCAGAAGCATTGTTCCTACTTCAGACTTAAAACATTGGAGCCTAAGTGGCCAGAAAAAAATATTAAGGCAAGGGACACCTCAGAAAAAGAAAAACTGAAGCGAAACTACCACAAAAGACATCGCGTAAGAGAGCTACGAGTTGTGGTCGCGGGGGAAAAAGTGTGGGTGTCTAACCTGAAGAGTATATGGAATAGTGGTTGGAACAAATTCCAATACTAGAGACTACGGTCAATATCAATGGGAAATTGTACAGAAGAAATAGAGTCTTTTTAGTTCCCACCAACAGTAGATTCCAAACACGTGAACAGGGAAAATAAATTAAAAAAAAAAAAGAGAAAAAGGGAAGGTTATTATTGGAATTATTGGAATTAAGGAATTATTGGACAGCTGGTTTAATATTTTTCATTTAATTTGCTAACACATGTTATGATTATTGTTTGTTGTTTATGTTTAAGTTTTAACCTAACTTAGTTACTGAAATAAAAGGTTGTACATTTTTTTGCGACATATTATTTGGCACCGCTACAGAATGCGCACCACAGGCTCTTAAAATTTCAATGTTATCCTTATGGAAGCAGTATTTGACACAAAAGCATAAGATCAGATGTTGACTTAAGGGAATTATTGAATAGCTCTGTGTGGGCAGAGACTGCTAGCAATGATCGACTAACGCTCAGGGCCGTCCAAAGGGGGCGGCAATCGGGGCAAGCTGCCCCAGGACCCGTGGCTGAGGGGGCGCCGCGCAGCAGCTATTTGTATTAACATCGTATTAAAATATGCGAATGCGACTATTACTGCTGGGGCTAGGGGGCGCCACGACCACGTTTGCTCCGGGCGCCGCCAACCCTAGGGACGACCTTGCTAACGCTTGTGCGGTACCCTAAGTCAAGCGAAACCAGACATTACCAAGATTAGGCCTAAGTGTTTGGTGATCTTATTGTATATCTACGAGTGGTGATATGGCTCAGCTACTATCGGTGCAGGATCGAGCTTTATTCATGCCATCTTATCTTTCAAATCAGTGGTAAGCCTATACAAATAGATGTTTTGCATACAAACACATTTAAAACAATTTTCAACTAAAAACTATCATGCACCAATCCGGCAAAGATCAGTCATTTTCGTATTGATCTTAAGTACTACTGTAATATTACTCATGGAACCATAAAGAGGAAGATTACAGTATATTCTTTTCTATACGATGCATGTAAATAATACAAAAAAAATTGTAGAAATATGCAAGGCTGTTTCAGTGGCGTAACAGAAGGGTCCGCAATACAGGGTGCACACTAAACGGCGAGTAGAGGCCTGTGAGACGAGTGGGACCGAAAAAAGTGAGTTCATTCTTATTGAAACGTATTGGGACGGAAAAAATCGGTTACGCCACTGCGCTGTTCATATCATGGCAAGAGAAGAAGAGGCGCTTTTGTGGCTACTGACACCCTTAATGAGAGTTGGCTATCTAGTAGGATGTTAAAAGTATCTAACTTAGATAGCCTAAGTTATTTAAACCACATACAGGTAACTTACGTACCTACTAAGAGACCATACCTGTCTACTCAATTAAGTCATAAATTATACAGTGTGATTGAAAAGTCCCGGAACGGTTTTATATTTTAAAAAATAATGCAGATAGAGCTAAAATACTTGGTACAAAGTTACAGGGCATAAAACTCTATTTTAACACATATTCAGTGACTCAATAACTCTTCAGGGGGACGTCCCACAAGGAGTCAGAATAAAATCTTAAATGGAAGCATAGGTCAATATGCACATCAAATTAAAGGTCTTTTTTAGTAGAATACAATGCCACAAACCGCACTTCAAAAGGTTGATCCTGCGCAAAATGACAGTTGTTCAAAGATTCATTTAATTTACATTGCTATTATACGCTTTCTCCTCAGGGGGCACAGCCCTAGGAATCGGAAGAAAATTTTTAACGTAAGAATAGGTCGATATGCACATCAAATTAAAGGTCTTCGCTTTTAGATTACGATGCCGTAAATTCAAGCTCAAAAGAATGCCTGAGTAAAAAATGGCAGTCGTTCAAAGATTCAAAATGGCAGATTCAAGAAATCTTTGAACATCTGCCATTTTGTGCAGGATCAACCTTTTGAAGTACGGTTTGCGGCCTTGTATTCTACTAAAAAAGATCTTTAATTTGATGCGCATATTGACCTATGCTTCCATTTAAGATTTTCTTCCGACTCCTTGTGGGCCGTCCCCCTGAAGAATTATTGGATCACTGAATATGTGTTAAAATAGAGTTTTATGCCATGTAACTTTGTACTATGTATTTTAGCTCTATCTGCATTATTTTTCAAAATATAAAACCGTTCCGGGACTTTTCAATCACACTGTAGGCCTATAGGTCTAGTCCAAACTGAGATAGGTACCTCTCCCAAATAATTAAAGACTTAACTTATGAATTTGATTTTGATGACAGTTTAAAGTTAAAAAGTAGGCCTACCTACTGTAAAAAGCATTCACTCACTTGCGACACAGAAAACATACTAGGCTACTATAACCCAGAATGCCAACACTCAGCATAGCGACGCTGGTGGCGCTGCCTACGAATTGACAGGCAAAGCTCTCTCAAAGTACTTAAAGCTTTTTACTATGTGGTTGGCATTCTGGGTTATAGTAGTATGTTTTCTGTGCTTGCGACTAACTTACTCGACCAAAATAGGTCTAGGCATAGCCTACTAAATACTATTTTAAGTTATGTCAAACTTAAATTACCTACTTCATGTGTGATGTGACAAAATTTACTTAGGTAGTTATTTCATTGGACTAAGGCCTAGGCCTAGTAACTTAGTTTTTCCTGAAACCTAGTAAAATTACTCTTTCTAAGATAAGAAAGGCTCAGTTAGTTTTTTCAAACAAAATTTAAGAGGATATTAAAATGTCGTCCTTTATGTCTTTGTCCCTATCTTAAACTTGTAAGTTAACTTGTTAGGTTAGGCTAGGCTATGAGTTACATTGAGCCTCTGTTAGCCAAGGCGCATTTGAGCTGTGCGGCAGGGTCCTGACAGTGCAGCACAGCAGCATTGGGTAAAAAGTCTGCGTTGCACAGGACATTGCATATTGGGAAGCAGTGTCGTACAGCTCTCGTATGAGTGATTCAGTTTCTTGTGTGAACATATCTGTTAAATATTAGGATTTGAGTTCTGAGTCAGATTCAGGTGCTGATCTAGATGTATTGTCACTTCTTCAAAAAAGAGCAAGAAAGAAGGGGCAAAAAAATGAGCAATGTTTGGTGATTTTCTTATTTTCTCCCAGATTTCATTCTTGTAATTTCTCTTTATTTAGGCCTAAGTTACTTACTATGACTGGTAACGTAAAAACTGGATAAAAACACACAGTTTCTATTAATTCCCCTCTAGATCCATCACACAACACAAAATTTAGTCAACACGGAGCAAGTGAGAAATGTGACGCAGGCACTTGTGTCTCGGCCACAAGTGAGCGCAGTCCACGTGCGGGACAACACTGTATCCTGCCCTGCGCCACAAAATGTGCGCGCCCTAGGGAAAACAAAAAACTGCCGTCCTGTGCTGCGCTGCACTGCTTTGACTGCGTCTCAATATGCGCCAGGCCAATTGGGATGCAAAGGACAGTACCTACAGTGTCAATAGCCCTAACTTATGCCTTTAACTTAAATATAAGTTAAGTTACTGCTAACTCAATTGTATAGTAGGCCTAAATGTAGGCCTATGTGCAATGAACTGTGATATGTGATATTATGACAAGGACTGTGTTCTCCTGATTTCAATTAAGTTGAGTGATGCCCAAAAATATTTAAGTTATCATAGGCCTACTGTAGTATGTAAACCCAACATAAGTTTATGGCCTAACTTAGGCCAACCTAACTTATTTTGAGAAAATATTTGCACCATTAGGCCTAAGTTACCTATTTTCAGCTAAAAATCTTAGTTTCTGGTGAATCTACATAGGCTAGGTTCCCAAGGTCACGTAAGTCACAATAAGGCTTTTAGTTTCCGAGTTTAAGTTAGGATTAAGCTATTAACTAACATATATTTTATTTAGAGTAAGTTAGGCCTAGGCCTATTAAGACTAGGCCTAGCCTAACTTGGGCTGAAAAAAAACAATAAAACTAGGCCTAGCTTAACCCGGTGAAACCCCTATCTTATTGCTTTGAAAACACACTTCATAAGTTAACAGACCATATTTTGTATACATTAGGCCTAGGCTAGAACAAAATTAAATGCATTTTGAAATGTCCCACTCACCTAAAGGGAAGGGTGGATTTAGTTTTTCAAGTTGAAATAACCGTTGTATCTCTACATTCACTGTTTGTAGAAATTTAAATTAACTGAACTATGACAAGTTTAGTTGTGGTTGTGAACAAACGTATGCAGTAAACTGAAATACGATTTGAATAATAAAAAGAAATTTTGATATTGGACCGCTCAGTTAGTAAACGTTGCCGTTAACTTGGAAATTTCAAATCGTAAAAGTAAAGTAGCTGAAAGAAAAAGAAAGACACAGGGAGTACAGCAGCAAGAGCAAAGAGCAAGTAGCGACAGGACAGGGACAGAGACAGATAGATGGTGAGGTGAATTGGTATTGGTGATCGTCCGATGGTGGTGCCTGGTGGTTGGTTGAAGAAGAAGAAGTAGAAGAGCCCGAGCCCTTAAAGAGTACGTGAGGATTCAGGAAAAAGAAAGGATGAGCAGACCACTGAGCTATAAGTCTGCTGTAGAACAAAGAATAATATTACATTAAATTTTGCAAACCTAATTATGATCATTGTTATATAGGTGGTTTCTTATAATATTAATAGAAAATTTTATGGATGTTAAAGATATTAAATATAGCACTTGATTTTCCAAATTGAATTTCTTCCAAAATTTCTCGACTTGATGAGGAATTGTTCCGTTTGATCCAATGAGTAGTCCATATACTTCAAATTTATTTTTCCGAATAATAGGTGATAGCTTTCTTATAAATATTTACTTTTTCTTCATGGACTTCCTGTGGCTGATTTTCATTTGTCTCAAGCAAAAACTGTTGGGTCTATAATGAGACCGAAATCTTTCCCCTTGTCTATAACAATGATGTCACTGCGCCTCACAGAGCCCTCTTCTTCTATAGCCGTGACCTCTTCATAGACCTCGTAACTTTTCTTTCTGAATTGATCAGCTAGGTGGTGGGTATTCCGTAGAAGACTACTAAATGGACACTTTCCAATGACGTGGGCAAGAGTTTCAAGAATAAATTTCTCAGACGCAGGACAATGCCTGCACTGGTTCCCGTCCCTGGATCTCCCATGAAGACTTCTAAGAGGAATAACGTCTCCGACCATTTTCAAGTAAAGCTTACGACAAAGTCAATGTTTCTGTTTTACTGCGAAAGATGTATTTGGAACCCCACCTCACTTTATCAACCACCTCCATAAGTGGCTAGTGGACAGAACAGTCAGGCACAAACTATATGGATTTTCAGACAGGAGAAGTACCTGCACAGGATTGCCGCAGTGTCCTTAGTCCCATCCTATTTGCACTGTACATATCCGATTTAAACTTTAACTTAACCGAAAAGGTTAAATCCTTACAGTGTATGCAGATGATATTGTTCTGTACAATGCTGACAAATCAATCGAGACTGCAACAAATAAGGTCCAGGGAGCATTAAAAGAATTGGAAATATTCACTAATAAACTCAATTCGGAATTCAATCCCAACAAGTGCAAACCCATCTGTTTCTCGAGAAGTAGAAAAATATTCTATGAGAAAATCACCCTCTTTCTACAAGGCTATCCTATCCCTGTTTAAGATCAAAATAACACTACTGGGAATTATTCTTTACACAAAACTTACATTTAAACAACATATAGCACACGTACAGACACAGTGTTTCAAGGACTTGAATATATAGAAAATATTGGCCTGTGGGGATAAAGGAGCTCATCCATCCTCATCTTACAAATATATGAAGGTCTAATTAGGCCTAAGATTGAATATGCAAGCTTTCTATTTGGACATGTAGCTACAAATACATTAAATTTAAGTTTGACTAATTCAAAACCAGGCACTGAGAATCGCAATTAAAGCATACAAAACTACTCCAATCATAGCCAATAAGCATTAGAAGGAAAATGTTAACAGAAAGATTAACATACAAAATACTGACTGGTTACGACCATCCAGCGTTTCACTACACAATGTATTTGCACACTATGGTTGTTAAATCTACCATGTGGGGTGCGCAAAAAAAAAACCACTATATGTAGAAGCTACTGACTTAATAATAAACATGATACCCAACATCTTCTATATCTCTGAAAACATAGACATCTATAGCATGGTGGAAGGAAAAAACAGCAATCCATTAGTTATGCTGGATGGCAAAATAAACTGCTACATTGAAAATGGAGAAATTGGAGAGAAAAAGAAAAACATCAATATTAGTATGTTGAAACAGCACCATATAGGTGCCCATTTTATCACCAACACAGTGTTGACATTTTTTCGTAACCATATCGACCAATCGATTGTCAACCGACCGAACAGATCGTTTTCGATAACCAAACTAAGTCTAACTAGTCAACCAGTGATCGACGTCGACGACAACCAACCATCGACCGTTTTCTGCTGATGTCCCGCCAAGCAAGAGCCAAAGCATAGCTAAAACAGGCATATGTTTTATCTATATTGCAGTCCTATCATAAAAAATACTTCTTGGGCTTCTTAGCCTAAGTTATTATATCAGCACATCCAAAAAATATGACTTATGCTTCTGTTATGTGTGTATATGTATTCACTTTGCTGTTGGGTTGGGATTGTTCAGTTAGTGAGGTCCTACATCTGCCACTGTTGTGTATCAAAATATTTATCTAGCATGAATTTGTGAGTCAAGACGAAGACGGACTATTTATTATTTATTTTTGTATCGACGAGAGTGGCATAGCCTATTGCATTGCTTAGTGGCCAAATAAATAATTGAAGCAAGTTAGGCCTAATTAAATAAACACCGAGATGGTTCATTAGAGCGTATAGGCCTACCGTAAAAGGTTTTAACTTTAACACTTTCTATGAAATAATATATAGCAATAATGATAGGTAATTATCAGTTTTATCAGGTCCGTTCCAGCCAGCGTATGAATTATCGAAATATACAATATATTAAACAACCTTGTGGCTGGAACTGAAAAATGTTTTAAAATAGGCCACTCAGTTAAGGCTGTTACTACGAAAAAACAAAAGTAGCCTAGTAATGTGATACAGGTTCCCACTTGGTTTATTTTAGCAAGCTTGTGGGTAAATGTGTAAAAGAGGACTGGTTTGGTACAACACACTAACTTAGTTCCTTCTCTTGAGTTTCGAGTCAAACCATCGATGAACTTCATCTATGGTCAAACTACCCCGTCCGTGTTTTGTTTTCCTACTTGGTGTTTAATAAAATAAGGTTAAACGATTCTTAGTTGTCAAATCATTATTTTAAAAGGTTAGGTAAGTTATAGGCCTACCCAAGACTTTATTTAAGATGTTTATTTGAGTAAACATATAAGTTAATTACGATAAAAGGCAGACTAACATTCCGGCGTTAGTATGAAATTAAATATTAATAGTTCATATTTTTGTTTATTTTCATAAGTCCTTTTATAGTATGTTAAAATCGATAATCGATAGCAAGCGATGGTCGATATGACTACAAACCGATATCTTGTAAATCCCGATCGTAATCTTGGTAAGGTGTGTTACTGTGGGGGTGATAAAATGGCCACCCAACAGGTGCGGGTCTGACCATAGATAAAACATACTCCTCATCTATGGTCTGACTTAGGGGAGGTACGATCAGTGTTGCCAGACTGGCCATGAGATGTTACCCACCGTGAGTTTCGAAAATCTCCGGTTTTACACGGCAGTATCTTTAAAAATCCCCGCATAATCCACGGCAGCGTTTCTTGTCCCTTAAATAGGGTATTCATGACGTTTCATACTAATAAATCAAGAAAACGGGGTAGGGTTTTTTTATGTATACGATTTTTTTTAAAATTTTGTGTTATTTGAGGTGGGTCGAATAATCAATATCCAATACTCTAATATGAGCAATGTTTGCTTGCTTGCTTGCACAAAGATCTCGAAAACGGCTCCACGATTTTCTTCAAATATTGTAAATCTTCATCTTGGCTGAATTAAATAACAAGGAAAATGTAAACAAAAGACTTGTAAGTTAGTTGTCTATCCACAGTATACTAGCAAATTACAAAATACAAAATACAGTACAAAAGGAAAAACATCAGTTGTGTCTATTAAGCAAAGATTATACTGAAGATTACTCGATGCATTGTTTGTAGTAAAGGCTTGAGGAGTATGTTTTATCTATGGTAAAGGCTAGCAGGTGTAGTGTAGGAAGCGTCTGCGGCATTTGGATAGTAGATTTCCCATCCTTATGGAACAGCTGAAGCCAATTTTATTGTTAGTTCTGTCCGGTTTTATGTAGATGTCGTGTTTTGTTTACAATTTGTTTCTTTTATTTTAGGGTTAGTTTCTCATTATTTGTGTCTCACTGTTTGGTTATATAGCTAGTGGACGAGTGATTGTTTATAATTAGATAGTTTTATTTGGTTAAACGAGGTTTTAAGTTACTGATATAACAAGAAACAAATTGTAAACAAAACACGACATATACAGAAAACCGGACATAACTAACAATAACATTGGCTTCAGCTGTTCCATAAGGATGGGAAATCTGCTTAAATAAATGCTAAGAGAAGGTTAAGATATTTAGTATAAAATTATTATGGAAAAGTGGTATGCCAATCGTATCAGCTTTATGCAAGCGCATACTTTGGTAACTATATCTCAACTCTAGAACGGTAAAAAAGTGTATTATACATAAGAAGTCGAATATATTTTATTCTTATTTGTGGCCAATTTGGTTTAAAATCTAGAGTCGACTCAATCCGATTGGATTGTATCATGTAATTATGCATTATGGCAAAACTAAATCTGAAATAAAAATTTTGCATTATGCACATATGGTTAAAAGTCACATGTTTGTGATTAAAGTATCAACAATAGAGTTTTGTTTGTAAACATCTTGCCTCAAAAAATTCGTTATTAGATGGAAATGTATACTCAACAAAAGATCTGAAACCATGAAAAGAGGACGACCACCAAATAAAAGTTTGAAGAAGTTGGGGAATTTCTGTAAAAGTCACAAAGCTGATGAAGACCAGGTAAGTTAAAAAAAATATCCTATAGCCTACTCTAATACGAGCAATGTTTGCTTGTATGTATGCTTGCTTGCTTGCAGAAAGATCTCGAAAACGGCTCCGACGATTTTCTTCAAATCTTGTAAATAGTTTGTTTTTGGCCTAAAAACGAGTTTCATGCAGTTAGAACTGCCAAAAAAATCTAATTACGTAATCCTAAAATG